GGAGAATGACCCAGGAAAGACCCTGTAATGGCTGGAAAAACAATGGCCCCCAAAGGGAGTGGCACTGTTAGGAGGTGTGGCCTTGTTGGAGTAGGTGGGGGTCTTATTGGAGGAAGTGTGTCACTGTAGACACTGGCTTTGAGGTCTCATATGCGCACCAGCAGTACCCAATGGGACAGATCACTTCCTGTTGCCTGCATAAGATGTAGAACTCTCAGCTGCTTCTCTGGTACCACGTCTGCCGGCACGCCTCCATGTCCCACCATGATGATAAGGGCTAAACCTCTAAAAATGTAAAACACCCCTTCAAATGTTCTCCTTTATGAGAGTTGCCATGGTCATGGTGTCTCTTGGCAGCAGCAGAAACTCTTAAGACAACACCTAAGGTCAACCTCTGGTTCCAGGCGCGTGTGCATACACATATATACACATTAACAAGTACACTCCTCTCCCAATAACATGCTTTTAAAAACTATCATCCAGGAGTAGTGATTTCTACCTTTAATTCTAGGAAACTGAGGCAGGCGGATTGCTGCAAGTTTGAGGCCAACCTGGGCAACATTGTGAGTTCAAGGCCAACTTGGGCTACATATCGAGACTTTTTATGGCTCAGAGGTTATGAGCACAGGCTGCTCTTCCAGAGGTCTTGAGTTCAATTCCCAGCAACCACATGATGGCTCACAACCGTCTATAATGAGATCTGGTGCCCTCTTCCAGCATGCAGGCATTCATGCAGACAGAACACTGTATACATAATAAATAATCTATAAAAATGTATAACTGATGCAACATCCCTTTACTTCTTGGCAGACTTTTCTGCTTTAGAACCACTTAGGTTGCCTTTTAAACTTCTGTCCAACTGCTGTAGGCTGCGTGATCTGTTAAGACAAGTGCTAGCAGGTGGCAGCCATCTCAGAGCCACCACCTGCCAGATGGTGGACACATGTGCCAGGCCCTGTTGGAGACTTTCTAGACTAGTTGTACAGATTGTTAGCATCATCTGTAAGTGAATTAGTGCTGACCCAGTATCAGCAGTGGGAAACTCATGGAAATTTCTCCACACTCTAAACAGTAGCGCTGGCACGTGAGATGGACAAGAATAAGTTTAGACCCCAGGAGGTGTGCACCCTCCTTTTCCTATTTAACCCTTTGACGGAATAATGCCTTTAGATTCAGAGCGCAAGCAGGCTCGTTCCCACAAACCTCTCCTCTCCTCAACCCGCCTGTCTCAGTGGAGATTTTGACTAGTTGAGTCTAGTTCCTTTTTCATTACTTACTGGAAGCACAGGCAAGTTATGAGTAAAAGCGGAATACCCTTTGGCTGGGTTTTGAGCCCACCTGGAAAGTTCTTTTGGACTTTTAAGCAACCAGAAAATTGAATTAGAGAACAGAACAGCCGCACTCCATCTATCTAATCGGGAGCAAACATCTGTTTTCACGGGTGCCAGGGGAAACCCAAGCAATGATTTGTTTTCATCTCTCAGAAAGAGGCAAGCTCAGAGCTGTATGCTGCAGCCTTCCTCTTGCTCACCGGTGGAAGTGACACCGCCTTCCAACACCCACTGCGACTGGACAGTTTGTTTCCTTTTGAGGCAGGCTCTCACTGAAGGCCAGGTTGGTCTCCAATGAATGGCAATCCCATGTTAGCCTCCCAAGCGCTGGGAGCTCAGGAGTGTGCCAGCATGCCCAGCAGGAATTTGTTTTGATCATGAAACAGAGGAGGAGGAAAGCAGTTTCAGATGACAGGCTGCCTCAGGGCATGCCTCGGTGCAGCCTTTGCTCCAGTCTCCTGTGGCTGTGAGGGTAATACATGTGGAGAAGAATCCCCGGGTGACTGGCTGGGTTCACCAGGGACCTTGCTTACGGACGTCTTCCGTCTTAGGCAGCACAGTCGTGCAACCTAGGACAGAGGACCGGTTTAAGACACTGTACACCTGGGACAGGCACAGGGGGAATACACATGCATGAGAGTCAGGGCATCAGTGGGAACTGTCAGCTCCGCCTCTCTGCTCTGTTCTGTTCTGCTCAGTGAAGACGATGGAACGGCGTCCACAGTTTTAGACCGGAACGGACAGCACTATATAAGCATGGGTAGGAAGGAAGCTCATGAACCCTGTTGGACTCTGGCTTCTATCCCTACTGTCTCCACCTCCTGACGTTCAGTTTGTCAGACTCTGACTTCTATCCCTACTGTCTCCACCTCCTGATGTTCATCTTGCTCTCACTCGTGCCCAGCTTTCCCGTCAGCCTGTCTCTAATGCACACACGGACTGCACCCAAACACACCCTGGGCACACACACCTTCTTACCACTTACAGATGCTATCCGCAGGTGGGCGCTCCCCTCCTCCAGCTGCTTCCTGTTGTTACCAGATCAGAGTGAAATGCCAGCCAGCTAAGTGGGGAGAGAGAGGCCCGTGGGCCAAACACAAGACTCACGATTTCTTTGTTCTGTTGTATCATTGGCTCAGTCTGTTCGAGTCACGTTCTCACGGGTCTCAGCTTTACAGTTATAATCACAGCAAGAGCGAAGGTATACCTTGAAGTATTTTTGGCTCGGCTATGTGCTTGCTTGGAACCGGGCCCAAACCCTTCATCCATTGTTGCAGTGAAAGGCTTCTGTAAGGAAGCCATCCAGAAAGAGGAATTAGAACTAAAGCCATTGTTCTAATCTGTCAGCACCATGCCTTTCTTTTGTCGCATTCCATTTTGTTTTGCTTTTGGATTATGCTGAACTGGAGGAGAACAATGTTTCTAGACCTTTGGGATGTCCTGCTTAGGGTTTCCTTAAGAAGTATACGCATTAAAGGACTGTCACAATCTTTGAGAAAGAAGAGCGGTCTCTGTAAATGCCTCTCCCCTATACTGGTATCTTAGGGGTGTGAACTGAGAACAGGAAAGTTTACTTTAACTATTTTGACAACTACATGAATTTGAGCAAATATCATCTAAGCCTTAATTTTTGCAGCTGTGAACAGGGAGCGTAGTGCTCTCCTTCCTAGGTCATGTTCAGATAGGCCAGGTGGGCACTACAATAAACAAATGCATATGAAAGAAATTTTTCCTTGGGCTACAGTAGTCTTGATTGACACTTGAAGTCTTTCCTAAGCCCAAATTATGTGATTTTAAATAATAAAGTGTTCTTTTTTTGTTTGTTTGTTTTTTGTTTTTCAAGACAGGGTTTCTCTGTGGCTTTGCAGCCTGTCTGGAACTTGCTTTTTAGACCAGGCTGGTCTCAAACTCACAGAGATCCACCTGCCTCTGCCTCCCTAGTACTGGGATTAAAGGTGTGCACCACCACTGCCCAACTTAATAAAGTGTTCTTACTCTTTCTGAATATCATATTTTAAAACATCTGGTAAAACCTAAAGACCTCTTTAATGTTACAGCAAGCTGTAGTGTCTGTTGACTTCCAGACAGTCTGTTTCTCATATTCAAAGCCAGGCATATCCTTGGATCATACAGAGTTAATTTTTTTAGTGAATTTTTTCTTGTTTCTCATTATGTGTGTGTGTGTTAGTTTGTATTCGTGTGTATGTACATGGCAGAGGAAGGAGTCCAGGGGCTTTGCATTCCCTGGAGCTGGAGTTACAGGTAGTTGTGGATGGTCTGATGTGGGTGCAGGGACATGAGCTCAGATCCTCTGGAATATCAAAAAGTGCCTTTAACCACTGAGCTGTCCCTCTCCCTCTAGGCCCAGATTTAATTTTTCTCAGTGACACTAGTGGGTGAACACGATTGAGTAGACGTCTAGCAGCATTGGGTGAGCCAAATAACTCGAAGCATCTGGAGTCTCCTTTAAGGTGAATAGTCCCTTTTAAGAATAGAACAACTCCTTCAGACCTTTCTCATCAGTGAGACAAAGCCACTCTCAATGAGATGGAAGATCCTGAATCAGAGCATTGCCAATCCCGAGTCATGGTTCAAAACCCCCAGAAAGAGCACCACTGTGCACCAATTTACATTTTTATTTTTAGATTGACTTCCCCATCCAAAATATGACTGCCCAATCTCATTTAGCTTGCAATGACTTCCCAATCTCATTTACCTTGCAAATGACTGAAAGCCTTGTTATATTAAAAACAACACAAGATGCCAGGCGGTGGTGGTGCATGCCTTTAATCCCAGCACTAGGGAGGCAAAGGCAGGTGGATCTCTGTGAGTTCGAGGCTGGGCTGGACCGACAGCCTCCAAAACAATACAGAGAAACCCTGTCTCGTAAAACCAAAAAATAAGTAAATAAATAAAACAACACAAGACAAGCCCCCAAACCAGCAGTGTAGCTTAGAAGTCTGTATATCTTAGCTCTGTGGCTACAGATAAGGTCTTACCAGTTACAGCAGCCCAGCACCTGAATTCATGCTTCTGATACCTCACTCAGGGACCCCGGGCATCCTGCTGCTGTCTCTCATCACAAACGGCTCAATAGTGTGCTGGCGTGGTAGGTACTGCTGCTTATATATCACCGGGGAGAGTGGCCTGGTGCGTACTGTCTGATACACTGGATCCCTCACAGAGCTGAAGTTGCCTCCCTCCACCTGCTGGGACACTCAGTTGGAGCACTCTCTAAACAAAGTCACACGTGTCTCAGCCCTTTCTTTAGAGACCTGGAGAAACGGCTTGGTGTGGGGTTTTCACGCTCTTGTTCTCCTCTGCTTTCTTAACTGGACCTTCTGGAGGTCATCCGAGTCAGGAAGGGGGCAAAAGGGTTCAGGTGGAGAGTTGGCATGCCTTCGTACTTAAGGGTACCACTCTGCTAACAACAAGTCTTTATCCACCCTTTATCTCTCTTTCCCCAGTGGAAATTGCCCCCCCCCCCGCCCCCGACTCAGAATCTTCACCGGCACTTTGTGTTTCAAGTCTCCCCCTAGTTCACGGAAACACACAATCTTCCTCTCTATCCCAAACAGTTTACAGCCTGCTGAACGAGGACCTCCTTTGTTCTGGTAGAAAGACCTCCCAGACCGTGTTTAGGAGTTGGACGTGAGGTACAGGGACAACATGAAGAGAGCAGAAGTGAGCAGCAAGAACAGGGTAGAGAGGTTGGAACTTTCCAGAAAGACATCCTGCATGGTGCCATTTCACTCAGGCACTGTTTTTAAACTGCAGAATGACATCTTTGAGTGGGCCAGGGACCACCTAGCCCACCACAGGTACTCAGAGACGGATGTGGACCCCCACAATGCCCGCTGAGGCTGCTGCTCCTCCCACATTGGGTGTCTGCTGGTTTGTAAGCACCCAGAGGCCATTGAGAAGGGCAAGAAAGACGCTCAGTGTCACTGATTTGCTTGCTGACTCCATGGTTCAGGTCCAGAGAAAGTGAATGATTGGATATCAAAGGGACCAGCAGAGGAGACAGAGTGATACAGTAATACGACTCACAGTCACCCCAACCTGAGCCTTGTTCTCAGAATTTGTCTTTTTACTAAGTCCTGTCCTAGGCATATTTGTTGGAAATTCCAAGTTTCACATGTAGTGGGTTTCCATTAAGCCCGGTGTCATTTCCTGGCATGACTGAGTTCATGAATTTTGTTTCCCTTCCCTTCAGCCTGAACTTCCCTGAGGTGGAGGTGATGGGGTCTACCCTTAAGTAGTGACACACCCAGCTCCAACACAGCTGATTCTCTCCAGATGTCATGCTTAGCAATCTTGCAGCCCTCCCTCTGAAGAAGAAGTTGCCTGTTAATAGGGTCAGCCAGAAGAAAGCAGCTGTGAGAGCCAAAGTTGTGTTTTAAGTTTTAATGACTGTGCCTAAGAGAACCACAAAACAAAAATGCCTCTGACCTGCAAGCCCCTTGCCCAAGGACAGGTAGTTCCTGAGATGCTGGGGGCTGCTGCTCATATAAGATAACAAGCCACATGTTTTCATTTCGCTAAACAAGTGTGTTTGACACATTGCACTGAATGTGCTTGATCACATGAAGGTAGGAGGTACAGAGGCAGGAAGTACGTCAGGATGTATGCTTGCTCTGATTGGACAAAGGCAGGAAGTAAGTATCCTTGTGAAGCACTTGGCCAACACAGTTCATGACCATTTTCTGGAAATCCCAGAATGGAACTGGCCATTAACTAAAGCTTGTTTCAAATTTGGCTCAGAATTGTGGTGGTGGTCTTTATTCTTGTCTGATGGGATCAAAACACCCTTGACCTTTTAGCCAAAAAGCTGCTGTGTACTGTGTTCATATTAGTCAGGGTCTGCAACGTTGGCCCCTCCAAAAGCATTTGTAAACAGGCTTGTCACTCCTAAAGCAATCCATTTATGTGTGAAGTCATGCCATACTCAGGGCATTGCAATAACACGGGCAGTCAGTGATTACTAAGACCAGCTCACACAGGCTGCAGTCAGCTGGGACCTAGCAGTCCACAATCTGTTCAAGCTGAAACTGGGAACAGACATGGTGCCTTTGTCCTTGCAAGAAAGGAAGTGTGGCATAGAAAGTACCAGGAGCAGAGGGGACTGCCCTGATCTGGGGCCATGCTCCTACTTGCCAGTGTACAAATTAGCCACTCTGTCTCCACTTTATCATAAAATGGGATAACAGTAATACGTACTCCACACAGCTTCACGAGGTGTATAGTCAGATCCCCGCCCCTCCGCCCTGTGCCCTGAACATCAGCTCCGGTGTCATTCCACCGGCCCCTGCCGGCCTGGATGCGGAAGTGTGCTTTCCTCTCTGCATCTGAGGCTTTCATGTATGGTCTTTGTTCTTTCAGGCAAACACACCCAATGCTGTGAGCCAAAAGCGTCAGAGCAGAAAAATAACGTGTTCTCAATTAGCAAGGAAGTGATTTCCTGATTTTGAGTTTTTACTACAAAAATAAAATAGCAAAAGTCATGTGGCTGGAGATGCAACTTTCTGGGGGCATCTCTACCCAGCATGCATGAGGCTGCAGGGTCAATCCCGAGACTTCAAAACTGCCAAGAGAGAAAAGGGATGAGGGAGGAGAGAGGCAGGGAGACAGAGAGTTGGTGGAGAGAGAGAGAGAGAGAGAGAGAGAGAGAGAGAGAGAGAGAGATCGAGAGAGAGATCGAGAGAGAGAGAGAGATCATTACAGAAGAGCACAGGGAAGTAGAATCACCCACTGTTACTGTTCTGCCGTCTCTACGTCAGGCACATATTTGATGTGTTTGGTGTGACAGAAGTCATGCTGCATATGTGATTTCATGTCTTGCCTTTAACTTCAGATTCTATTACAGACACCATTGTCAAAGCCTGCAGGCAAATGCTTCAGTCGAGTGTGTCATAGTTTATTTAACCAACGCTGTGCTGTGGTTAGATATGTATGTCACTTCCAATCCTATGATATAAATGATGTCGCTATACAATTAATAATGCCTTGGGACAATCAGCCCTTGAACTGATGTCAAGAGCCCGAATGAGAAGGCAGGGGCTCCTCTGTTTTATTAATGAGAGCTGAACTGATATAATAATAGTCTGGGTTTCTTAGACCATAAAATGGGAGAGCACCTCAGTCTTTTCCCTTAAAATGCTGCAGTCTGATTCGTTCTGTATGTTCTGTCAGGACATGTGTCCCAGGGTATGTCTAAACGCGGACTGAAGAACAAACATGCTTCTGGCAAGTTCCCGAATAATTATCTGGGAATGTCTCCTTCATCACCAGGCCAGTGACCATCGAAGCGGGTCCAGCTATCAGAAACCATCCGCTTGTATCCTCTTTCTTTGGGGCTCCTTGAGCTTCTGCTGGGAGCCAGTGCTGCAGGGATGGCCCTACAGTTTAGCCTCTGTCTTCCCAGAAGGGCAGGGAAGCTAGAGGCAGTGAGAGATGCTGGAACACAGGGCAAGCTCTGGGGGAGCACGGAGGATCCTCTCCTAACCCTCACTGCAAGGGCGAACCGTGAGGAGTGGGGGTAATTGAAGGCCTCGTGGAAGAAACTGGTCTTTGAGGGGAGATCTGGACAATGAAGACGTGGTCAAGAGAAGGATATGTAAGCCAGAAAGGCTTTTAAGATGTCACAAGCACCATCATGGAATATTTGCACAGGTGCGTGCATGCACGCACCCACATGCGCGCACACACACACACACACACAAATAGTCTATGAGGAAAGTAATGAACTAATGTGATGAACTAGCAAGCTGGAGCTTGAAGGCCAGAAGCCCTGAATGTTTGCTCTGTGTTCTTCCAACCACATCTGATGGTTTGAAAGATAGAAAAGCCCCTTGGCAGGCATTCTTGTCCTCTGGTAATTACCCACGTAAGCCTTATAGTCACTAATTGAGTGAAGAAACCATCCATGATACACAAGGCTGTTCTGAAGTGTAGGCCATCTCATGTTCATGGAACTGCTTTTCCAGTCGAACTGGGCAGGCCATGTGGACCAGACAGGTTCCATACAGGAATCTAAGTCATTGTATGTTGGGGTGAGCTGTAGGGGAGGATCTGTGCCTGTCACGTCAACTCCCAGTTGTTGTTACCCGGGGCTGAGTGGCAGATCAGTGTGCACCGGGACATAGACCAGTGCCTTTAAGGGACACACCTCACAGAGTTCCTTCCATGCTGAACTCCTACCTGCTCTTGTCCTGCTCTCTCTGTGGACAACAGTCCCTGATTCACACTGGAATGTTCGGTCTCTACACGTTCTTCACTGCCTCTCCAAGGTGTGAGGTTTATGGAAACATGCAGATCCCGCTAAGAACCTGTTGGGAGATTTTTCCTGGGTATGACCCAGAGGACCCAAAGCACCTGCTTCATTCAGTCCATTAGCACAGAGTTTGCAGTTCAGCAATAGCGAAACCTCTGCTTAACCATCTTAACAGACTAACAAGGCAAAGCATGGCATAGGACAGGCTTAGGGCCTTCCTTCCTAGTGCCTAATGTAGGAAGACAGGGTCCTTAAGAATGATGGGAAAACATCAGAGCTCGAGCTACAGACCTGGCTTTTCTAAGAGACCGTTTACTGAGGCTCTAAAACAAGTAGTCAACTAGACTATGTCACGGTTTGCATCACGATTTAGTTAGAAGTGACAAAGTCAGGTAGCAGAAGCAGAAGGGTGACACAGTGAGACTGTATTTGTATCTTAAAGCAGTATTCTTCTCAGAGGTGAGTGGATTGCAGGGCCACCGGGACCTTCCTTCTGGGGCTTCTATACCACACTTGGGTTCCTAGGGGCTTAGAATTCCCTGCTCAGGTGGCTGGAGACCATTCCAGAGCCTTCAGTGTCCTTCAGAGCTCTGTGCATCCCAGGCCTGAAGGATGGTCTGTGGGAGCAAGGTTACTCAAGGCTGGGTAACCACACAAAGGACAAAGGAGGGCGCAGGCCAGACTAGGAGCTCCACCCATCTTCTTGGCATGAGTTCTATAAATGTTGGAGTTAACACGGAAGTGAGTCACACATAAGGTTAAGATAGGTCTATCAGTTAAGAAGTGTTTTTTTTTTTTGTTTTTTTGTTGTTTGTTTCTTTTACCAGACTTTTTCTTTTGGGCCACCAACCAGCTCCCATCTGGTGACATGGAGACTTCTTATTAGCTATGAATGCTCGGCCAAGCTGAGGCTCTTTTCTGGCTAGAATTTTCAGCTTAAATTAACCTGTTTCTCTTTATCTACATTTTGCCTCAGGGCTTTTTACCTCTTCTTTCTGTGTGTCCTACTTTTGCTGCTGCTTCTGTGTAGATCTGTCAGGCCCTGGGCATTGTCCCTCTCTCTCTCTCCCCTGTTCTCTTTGTTCTTCTCATTCTCCTATTTATTCTCTCTTCCTGCCAGCCCCGCCTATCACTCTACTGCCTAACTATTGACCATTCAGCTTTTTATTAGGCCAATCAAGTGCCTTAGGCAGGCAAGGTGAAACAGCAACACATCTTGACATAAGTAAACAAAGGCAGCAAGACAACTGTAACACATCCTTACATCCTTAAACAAATGCAATAGAAACTAATGCAATGCATCCTTACATGTTAAACAAAAGCAGTAGAAACAAATGTAACACACCTTTACACAGTTAATAGTCTGCAGCATAAACAAATGTAACACATGTTTACATAGTTAAATATTCCACAACAGCATTTGCCTTAAACACGATGGGAGTTTATTTTCCTACAATTAAAAGCATTCTGTCAGCTGTAATCAAGGTACTTTGGACTTGAGGTAGGAAATTCATGAAGAGGCAGTGGTAGGGCAGGCTTACTGACTGATTCTAGAAACAAGTGTCCAAGTGGGTAAGAAGAGTCACAGTACCAGCTCATTAGAAAGCTAGGTCTTCACTGGGTGTGGTGGCACACGACTTTAATCACAGCACTTGGGAGGCAGAGGAAGGCAAATCTCAGTGAGTTCTAGGACAGCCAGGACTGTTACACAGAG